GAAACCGGTTTGGTTCAGCAGTACAGCGTGGGTCTGCAGACTGAAAGGTCCCAGGTTCGATTCCGGTCAAGGGCATGTACGTTGGTTGTGGGCACATCCCCGGTAGGGGGTGTGCAAGAGGCAGCTGGTAGATATTTCTCTCTCATTGACGTTTCTAGCTCTCTATCTCTCTCCCTTCCTCTCTATAAAAAATAAATAAAAATATCAAAAAAATTTTAAAAAATAAGAATAAAACCTAGTTTCTAAGATAATTTTAATGGTAAAGCTTCATTTCCCATATATATCTTTTACCTAAGATGTAAAACTAGTCCATCCAATTGCTTTGAAATATGTATTTAATATCCAAATATGAGTTACATACATAAGCTGATAAAAGCAATTCATTAAGAACACCAAGGGTATTTAGCAAGCTTTCAATAAGTGTTAGCTACTATTTTTACTACCACTTTTGAATGTCAAATTAAAACTATAATCCTACTTAAATTACCTGAAGTTTACCCCTAAGCAGCAATACACTCACATCTTGGTGCACATGAAAATCTGTGCTTAGTTCTCTGATATTTAATAAATTAAGTATTCACTGGCCTTCATAAAAAATAAGTTATCTCCACCTGAAGTATCATCAAGTTTCATCATGGGAATAATGTTTAAAAATGAATAAACTGACTATCGTCTTTCATTTGTGAGATCATTTTGATTGTCCACAAAACAACAGTTGTAATCCATACTGTCAAGAATTGTGAAGGGTCTGTGATTTTTGTCTTACTTGTAAAAGAAGTTACCCTGGCACAGTGTCATGGATGCTGGCAGAAGATATGTGTCTGTGGGTCAGAGATAAAAGACTTCATTGCAGAAATGGCAGTACTCAGAGTATCAGCATTTCTTAATGCCAGTTCCTCAAGCCCCAATTCCCTCTGGGCAGTGAGAAAAGAGCCAGGTGACACTGGCAAATGCATTTAGTTGTGTTACATGGGGAAAAGCCCTGGGTGGAGGGAATCTGAATATTTCATAATAGTCAAAGCAAACTGGAACCTGAGGGAGGCATTATGCTCATTTTTGGGGGACAGGAAAAAAAACCTGTCCTTTGTACCAATGGATATACTATCTACTTCTCAAGGCTGTTTGCAAACCAGCCTTTTGCTTCAAGAAAGACAGTGCCTTCCTACTCTCTTCACTGTACAACACCCCTAACTATAGTCTGCCAAATAGGTAGTTAGTACTTTCTTCTCATCAGGTGCACAGAAGGGTGAGAGACCCAGGAAAAAATTTTATCCCAATAATTATAATAGGATTTAGAGATGTCATGAATCTTATGGTTGACTTTTGTAGAATGAGGAGCTTATTCTAACTATTCATTTGATAAATTTCTATAAGTCCTTGAAGTCTCTAAAATAAAATAAAAATATTAAACGCATTGTCAATTTTGACCTTTGAAAAAGTAAATGAAATTCAAGGACTAACATGCATTTTGGGCTGCACTGCAACTTAAGATGCTTGGGCAGCATCAACGTCTCAATTGCATTCATATGGCAAAAATTAGTGTTGCTAAGGTCCTGCGATTTGAGCCAGAATAATTTGACAAAATGTTATCATCGATGATAGCATCAAAAATAAGTATTAATAACTAAGGACAACATTATAAAAATAAATCCCTCAAGAATTTCAAAAATGTCCCAAAATTCAGGTGCATGAAATTTTACACTTTGAAATGGATCCAACAATAGGAATGTTATGAGAATCTGATTTTTTTTTGTTCATCTCAGATGGTTGAGATTTTGATTTCCAATGATATTCAAAATATTTCTAACAGTCATACGGTTGCCATTTGGTTTTATGGCAACAGTGCAAAGAGAGATGATTTAATAGGATAAACAAAGAAGAGTCAGAGAGCAAATGATTCGAAACAGATTCTTTTACCAGTTTAGCATGTATTCAGTTTTCACTTGCAAAACAGGGTCAAGGAAGTTAATCCCCCAATAGGAATGTTATTGTGAATAACAAAGTGGATTTTAAGCATCAGGGCTACATAAAAAATGAAAGTAAAGTGGATAATAGCAGTCAGAATGGACATATGTGGATTGCATTTATTTCCTTATTCGGGGTCTCTGTTCAATAATATAATATATTATATTTTTTTCCAAATTATAACTCTCAAGTAACAACAATGGAAAAGTTCATGAGTAGTTCACTCCTGTAATATAGAAAAACCACAACAAAGGTTTAGAATCTACAATACCAAGAAAAGAAGGCATACGGGTATATATCCTGTATGTCCATTCTACAAGAGGGAAAAATAAATTTAGATTAATGTTGTTGTCAGAAATGTCATCAGCAGCCTCAGACACATGCATGCGTGCTCTCGAGAGAGAGACACAGAGCAGGAATATAAGTGATTGTGTCTTAGGCTGCAGATTCCCTCTTTACCACAAAGTCCATCTTTGTGGAATAGCTGCTCGAATTCCAGTTGCTGACTTAACATATGTGTTTGATGCAGAACTGAGCCATGAGAAATGATGGTTTGTATCTTCCCAGCTGCCTGGGAGAATGGAGAAAGGGTTCAATTTTCTGTATGATGTTACACTCAGTGACACAATCTTTACCCACTCTCAAGGTACATAAGTTAGCCAGTGTCTTTGCCCTGCTTTTCTTATTGTGTTTGCCTATTGAGTCCTTGCATCTGAATCCAATACTGAGAGGAGAGCACTTTCCTCAGGACTATTTGTTTAAAGGAGCCCTATTTCCGGAGGGCTTTCTGAGAGAACACTGAAGCCCAAAGAGAAAGGGTAAACTCAGTTCCAGAAACCAAAGAGAGCACTCAGGAGGTCATTAGTTGACTTTTCTATAAATGCTCAGGTCAGTTCCTATTTTGGTTACAATCCTATCTTGGAGTCCCGATGGCTGCAAAAACCACTCAAGCCTCATTCTTGCGGTTTTCAGCATCACAAGAGCTCTTTGAAAGGCTTCACTGTCCATAAGTCACAGCTGACTATTATTTCCTCAAGAGTGCAGAATTTCCATCCAACTGTCCATGTATCACTTCAAAAATCAGGTGTTGAATGAAAATTATAAAAAAAAACAAACCAAAAAACAATTCTTTACCTTTCATCTTTCTTCCCAAGTGATTATTTCAGAAATTATTGGTTAAAATAAGTATGCTATTTATTTAAAAATGTTTATCAGGGAAGAAATGTTACAAATCTCAACTGATTGCTATTCTAAAATTATATTAGAAAGAAATGGACAAAAAATTGGTCTTTATCTGAATAATCCAAAAATATTTAATCAATGTCATATATCTGATTTAAATGAAATAAGCATATAAATTGAAGTACATAAAAGAGTTTTTTAAAAAAATAAAATGAATTTAATAAAATAAATTATAAATGCATAAAATATATTCTGAATAATAGCTCAGTATAAAGTAATATTAAAGAAATGGGTTACTAAAAAAAGTATAAAACACATTTTACTATGTAAATATATTTTTGTGTTTGGTGTTTAGAACAAGAGGAAAAATGCATTTCTTTTCCCTTAAACTAAAATGTCTAAAATCTATTAGGTTTTCCTTTCATTTGATAAGAGTTATAAAAGAGAACTTAAAATCCACAACAATTAAATTGATGTAGTGCATAACATAAAGGAATACCAAAGACAAATAGTCTATCATATTACATTAATTAGTTGATTTTGCAAAGATTGGTTTGGCTAAAATTGCCATACCATTGAACTTTTAAATATTTACATCTCTCAATGGACATATAATTACCTATCTTTAGCATAACATAGGAAGCATGATTTGTACACTTTCAGAATCTTTATTACAAGGTACTATAAAGTTATGTCTTAGTTTCTTTTAATTTAGTTTTATAAAACCCAAAGTGTTTTCAGTAAGCCAGGAAATATAATACCCTTCTTAGAGAGGAAACCTCTGAGATCATGATCAGGGCTACTTATACAGTACTTTGAGGATCATGACTGTATTGCAGTTGCTGAATTAACTGCATCTGGGTTCACACTAGAATCTTTTATTATACAGTACTGATAGCAGAGTTGGGGGCAGGACCAAAATAATTTCACTTAGAAACTGTCTAGGCAACATATACAAATAATAACAACAATAATAGTTAATATTTGTATGGTACATTATGGTCTATGTCATAATTTTACTTGTGAGTGTTTGAGTTCTAAAGTAATTCTGTGAGCTAGGTATTATGATAACACCAGAGTAGATAAGGTATTTTTTTTTCCAAATCTCTATTGTTTATTATCTGTGTGCTAATAGGCAAGTTAAAATACATATATGCCACAGGACTCCAAAAACTTTATCAGAGGCACAGAGATTTTGATCTTTGCTTCTAGGATGATATTCAAAATGCTCCAAAACTTTTGAATAAAAAAAAATAAGGTACTTGCTCAAATATAATACAATGAATACTTGGGAATATCAACATATAAGGGGAAGAAAGAAAGGAAGAAGGAGGGAAGAAAGGTTTGAAGGAAGGAAGAAAAAGAAGGGAAGAAAATGTGGAAAGTAAAAAAGAAAAAAAGAAGGAAGGGGAAAGGAATAAAAAGAAGACAAGAGGAGTAGTTTAATTATGATGACTCAAAGCCAAAACTATTTCATATAATTCAAAAGGAATTCAAGAAAAAATAACATACTAAAGCCAATCTATACAAAGAATTGTCTTAAATATATGTGCTACAAAATTGTATTTTGTTATCTTTGGAATATATATATATATATATATATATATATATATATATATAATCAAAGGGAACATAGTTTTGCTTTATTTAGGCTTGTTGGTATTTTACTTTATATAAAACTGTCAACACTTTACATAATAATAAAAATGTACAAAATTAACTATTATTTTGTTTCTAAAGAGTCTTTAAATCCACAAATAAAGAATGGTGTTAAGATAACACAGCAATAATGATTATAGAGAAATAAATTACTATATGCAATTACTAAAATTATTTAGTAGGTTGATACTCACCAGAATATCTTTTCCAGCCCATTTGCATTCATCCCTTCTGGTGTAAGATACTGGCCACACAATCTAAGGGCAGAGAAGAAACATTGTTTTATGCCAATTAAGTTCTATTAGTATAAGAACCAACATTATTGTCTGTCAGAACAGGTTGGGACAACTGAGATAAAGAGAGTTCCATAAAGCATCATGTACAGTGACCTTTCAGTGTAGAGTATGCAGTGACTTCAGTTAACTGACATTATCTTAAATCACTCATTCTTCATGTACCAGGTGGCTTTGCTGTATATGAGAGCTGAGCAACACAGTCATTCAGGAAGTCAATATAGCATGCCTTGTTTTCTTGTGCTTTGCTTTATTATGTTTCACATATGTTGTGTTTTTTTACAAATTAAAGACAAGACCCTCCACCATCAAAAAGCTTTTGGCCCATTTCTTTGGGACACCTGTTTTATAATAGAGGCCTAGAACCAAACCTACCATATATCTCAGATATGCCTGTAGAACTAACCAAAGTGTAGTGGAAAGAACTCTGAGGCAGACTGGGGAGAGCGATATTATCTTGAGAGATGAGAATCTAGTGGAAGAGATTGATTGCTCTGGATCCATTTCCCTAATCCAAATCTCAGCATGACAGACTAGAACAAACAGCTGATAGGATCAGAAAAACCCACCTTAGAGAGATTTTTTTTTTTTAAAATAGGTAAGAGTAGCTTTATTTTACTTTCAGGAGATAAAGGGGGAAATAAAGCTGGATAGAGAGCTCTAAAAATAGTCACTTTTTTTACTTAAGTAAAACCAATTTATTAAGAAATAATTGTTTGTGTTGTCATCCCTTATATTTGGTCTTCATCCTTTCCAAAGTTCCTATATTTCATGAATACTGTGACAGTGGTAGATAACCAAGGTGTTTCTGGTGGCTTAGAGGACTTGGATTCCTTTCCTCTCAATCATATTAAAGCTTATACCCTATCTAAATTCTAATAGAAGCTTTTAGTTTCCCTTAGCAAATCCAATGACACCTATCTGTATTGGGGCACAACAATTTAATTTTTGATATTTTTATAACAGATTATGTCAGTTCAAATATTGGGTGTTTATAATGTTTTATCATTTTATAAAATTCATCTATAAATATAAATAGGTGAGTGAATATATCTATATATAGACAATATGAGTACATATCACTTTAAAATATATATTTAATGTATTTAAATTTTTTTCTGAATAGTCTTAACTTGATATATTCAGTTAGTTTTAAAATTGAAAAGAGCTGAATTATCTTATAAGACAGCCTATTATTTTATAGATGAGAAAAGTCATAGAGCTATATGCCTAGGACAGTGGTCAGCAAACTCATTAGTCAACAGAGCTGCAAACCTCAGCTCCCAACCAGACAGTGTGACAGCAGTTTGCCAATCTGTTGACTAATGAGTTTGCCCACCACTGACCTAGACTTTTGATTCCAATAATTACAGGCTGTTGTTGTTCCTTAAGACTAGAATATTTCTCTGTGTCGCTTCTAACAATGAGACTTGTAATAAATAGGAGTGGGCAAAGTTAGATTTACAGTTGGGATTATACTAAACAGTTTATTCTTCTATTATTATTTTCTAAGTATTGTATCATTTTCTGTATCAACAACTGTAAACCTACAGTTGCCAACCCCTGCTATAATGAAATAATAAATCAAAGTAAGGTGACTTGCACAGAGTGATAATGTTATAGCTCCTGCTCTTGAGTTTAAAAATCATTATTCTAGTTATAGAAGACATAATTCTAATTTTGAATCATTCCACTTCAAACATATTACTTAATTTTAGTTATATCACACAGCCTATGAAAGTAAATACAATTTATTTAAGGCTTTACGTCTGTTTGAATATATTTGTCTATTAAGCTCCTTGGACCCTGTTTATATATATGTATAATATATTTTTTAAACACACACACACACACACAAACACACTGTATTTTCCGGCGTATAAGACGACCCCTAGTTTTACAGTTAAAACATAGGTTTAGGACTATATTCGCTGTATAAGACTACTCCCCACTTCAAAGAAAACACTTACTTTGCCGTCAAGATCTGCAGGTAATTTTTGTGCAATTTTGGTCTTTTGCCCCCGATTTTCGGTTGACTTTTTTTCATTTCAAAAGTCGTCTTATACGCCGGAAAATACAGTGTGTGTGTGTGTGTGTGTGTGTGTGTGTGTATTTATATTTTTAATTGATTTTTTACAGAGAGAAAGAGAGAGGGATAGAGAGTTAGAAACATCAATGAGAGAGAATCATCGATCAGCTGCCTCTTGCACACCTCCCACTGGGGATGTGACCGCGACCAAAGTACATGCCCTTGACCGGTATCGAACCCAGGACCTTTCAATCAGCAGGCAGATACTCTATCCACTGAACCAAACCGGTTTCGGCTGGACCCTATTTTTAATGTTCTTCAACAACTTATTTCCTAAGTATCTACTATTATTATAAACTCTATAAGAAATAATATAGTATCATAATCCTTGAGGAAATTATAAGATGATGTTAGAGATAAGATACATGAACATAAAGGTCAAAGAATTAAGACCAGAAATACTGAGTGAGGGAAAATGTTTGACATAGAGTATAGCACTTAGATGCAGTAGCACAATTTCCACAAAATTTTCAGTCAATGTTTATTTTCAAAACTGTATAACTTATTAACCAAATAAGCTGGAAACACTATAAAGGATAAGGATAAAACTGATAAATAGTTAGTGTCTAAGTGACCCCATATGCAAAAGCCTGAGAATTGATCTTCCAGATCAGGATTTGGCAAACATTTTATTTAAAAGGCCAGATAATAAATATTTTATGCTTTGTGATCCAGATGATCTCTATCACAATTACTCAAATCTGCCACTGTAGAATAAAAGCAGACATAGACAATATGTAAATGAATGAGTATCTGTTTTCAATAAATTTTATTTACAACCACAGTTGACACAGGAGATTAAGCATGTGCACAGTGATTGATGAACTATGTATTTGCTGGCAATATAGAAGTTAATACATTTATATTAATACACACATATAGCATATACATAGATACATATATACATGAATTAAATTATAACATATTTCTCTAATGGTTCAGGAATTTATTTTATGCAGGAAAATAATATGACTTTATCATTTAAAAGGCAACAACTATAGTTTCTTTCTGGAAGATTTTTATGGTTTACTGTAGCTATTGATTTGTGATGGTCAAATCAATGTATTATTTTTGTTTGTATCTGAAAAGATAAAGTATTAACTCAAACAAATTTTCAGTTGTCACACTGTTAGATAGCTAGATAATTCTTGAGATGTTTTAAAGTACCACAGTGCATATATTAGAATAAAGATACCTTTTGATAATCCTTGATATTAACCAGGTTGAATGAAAATATGTGATCCTTTGCTCCAACATACAGCCTGCTTCGTTCCTCATCCAAAAGAAAGGTATGGTAATTGGAGCTGTTGGCCAAGCCATTGAAAGTGATAACATTGTTGGATTCCAGCATTTCTGCAAGGTAACAAAACAAGACATTGGGTGTTAATCTGAGGTCCTACATGAGCATAGGCTTAATACATGGTGATCTGGCTATAGTTAACAATCAATTATTTGTTTTCATTGAACTATATAGAAGCCATTTTTCTTTAAGAAATAAGAAATATATAGAAATCTTTTTTCATTTCATTAAGATGAGAACTATACTCATTAGTTTGCTGAAGGAAGGGAGAGCTATAGCTTGTGCACACAGTGGTTTGAAGGAACCTCTTTGCACTTAGCAATGGATTAGAATGGTTGGTATTCTATATAAAACATCTTTAATTTTACAGATATCATTGTAAGTTCCTTTTCTTGCAACCAAATAATTATCTAGAAGAATAAGCATTAGGGCCATCAAAGCAAAGGTAGTCTGGGGATACACTATTTAACATCCTAGATTGTTTGAGGCCTCATTTTATTGCAGAATTTGAAACTTTTTGCCTTGGACAGACCCCCTGATCAGGGTACAAGGTGCCCATAATTTAGTTTGGGACAAGTAAATATCAATTCCAAGCTAAGACTGCCTTCCATGTTGGTATATCCCACATAATATACAAGTGCCCTGGACCAAATTGTGAGGAAGGGGCAATGCATTTTCCCTTAAATATGCATGTAAAACCTCAAGATTAGGCCCTTCTATGATATTAATCTTTTGTTCACTTTGTATAATATGAAAAAGTATGTGTTCACAATCTAATCTGATGAATCATATTTTTTAAAGTAATTTAGTGGAGTCATTCAACTACTTATTCAACAAATACATATTCAGTCCTTATTATGTAAACACATAGGCATTGGCTAAGAAGTATGTGAAAGTAGAAAAGATTAGTAGAACCTTTATGGAAAGTTACACAAATGGCATCAGAGAAGCAAAACATGAAAAGAACAACAATAAAGAGAATAATAAGAACTAAAGAAGCTAATGGGGCAGGTGGGAAATTAATGTCACAAAAATAAGTGAATAACTCTTGGAGAAAGGGTGTGGCCATTAAATCTGGCCTTAAGTATATACTAGAGGCCCGGTGCACAAATTTGTGCATGGATAGGGTCCCTCAGCCTGGCTGACGCTTAGGGGCCAGAGCCAGCTGGTTGCAAGGAGGGACTGGGGGAGGTTGGCTGTGGAAGTGAACTGACCACCAAGGGACAGCTCCTGCATTGAGTGTCTGACTTCTTCTGGTCAGTGCACATTATAGTGACTGGTCATCCAGTAATGGTTGCTTAGGCTTTTATATATATAGATGGGACTTTCAAAAGCAAAAAGAGGTGTAGCAGAACATTCCATGTAGAGGACATGATTAAAGACCAGGAGGTAGAAATAAGGAAAATATAAGAGAAAGAAGTTTTAAGTATCTACTATATACCAAAATATGCTGAATGGTTTATTAAGTAGATTCATTTAAGCCTCATAGCAACATTATGAGATGAAAAATTTCACCCCCATTTTATCTCATGAGGAAATTGATTTTTAAAATACTAAGAATATCCTAGGTCATAGAGCTGGCTTGATGTAGACTCACGATATCCACCTTAATCTGATGCCAGAGGCCAGGTACTTTATATCTTGCTCCATATTAGTTCTAGAATTTTTGAGAATACCAAGGACTGATTGTTGAGCAGAAATGTAAGAAATGTAAGAATGAATTTTTGGGAATATAAATAACTGTTGGGAAGTTTGGTTACCTCTTATTGGCACAAAACTTGTCTTAGTTAATAGGCTTGTCAATATTTATATTATTCTATTTGCTATGCATTTGATTTTTTTAATTACTCTGTAGGTAATTTTATCTGCAACTATTGCTTTCACCATTGGAAGTACTTTGACAAAATGCATATCTTCTAAGATAGATTTCCCTTCAAAGGCCAAACAAAGACTTACTAGAGACCTCTATTTAGATATTGTACAGAAATCTCAATGTCTGCATGACTTAAACAAAACTCACTTCCTGTTCTTTTCTCCATTCCTGACATCATCACCTTTCTGTATATTTTCAAATTGGTTGCAAATATCGCTCATCCAAAAAATCCTGCAAGCCATAGCCTATTCATCATCCACAGATCCAATCCAGTTATTTTTAACACTATAAGCTTTGTTTAACACTAAAATAAGTTTTGTATCACTTAAATTTTATTTAACACTATAACAACTTCTCCTAGAGTTTCTTTTGCTTATATACTCACTGTCACTGTCTAGTTCAAATCATTATGATTTGTTATAATTATCTTCCTTCTAAACTTCTTTTTTGAGTTTACATCAATAAATGATGTTATGCACTACCGGCAAAAGAATGCTTCTACAAAACCAAAAATGACTTGTTTTGGGTAAATTTGAGAAAAATCTTCCATTGAATCTCATAGAAGAAAAATAAAGAAAAATGGGCAATAAAATATTTGCATTAAACGAAGAGAGGAAACAATAACAATGAGATATCAAGCCACAAATCTTTAAGAGAATATATCCAATATATCCAGTGAAGCCTAAAACATTTTAATATAGAATTCTGAAGTCTGGCACCCATCCACATACCCCAAGTAGGATACCATTAGGAATAAAGGGGCTACAAATTATACAACTTATATTTACAAATGCTTTATTATGAAAACACACTCTAGGAGTCCATATGATTATAAAACTGTTGGAAAATATCTATAAAAATTGAAAGTATAACTAAAGTACAAAGTCAGCATGATGATGATGACAATGATGGTGATGATAATGATCACAACTAACATGTGCATGCCAGGCACTGTTAATGAGAAACACACACACACACACAAACACACACACACACACACATACACACACACATGATATGAATTGTGTGTGAATTATTCATTATCAAAGGAAACTACTGTATAAAATACAGTGAAGGTAGGAGTGAAAGGTATGAATATGAGACTACTCCACAGAATGTTTTTGATGGGAATTCAAAAGAAACACACCAATTATCAAAATATGAAAGAATGAAGAATATATTTTCCCAGAAGAAAATATATAAATATATAAAACATTTTGGAGTTTTTTTTTTTTTATTCAAAACAACTATTTATAAACTCTTCCAGCTCACTCCCTCATTGTCAGAAAAGGAGATAAGAGGTTTACCAAAATGCAACAAAAAAGCACAGAAAAAAAAGGTGACTATTATCCTTAGCAAGTGCACAGGTCTGATTTAAATTAAGTTCTACTAGCTCTCAGTTCAATGTGCTTTCTAAATAAATGTCTAGGAAAATCTGTCTTTAATTTTTCTCTATATTTTGTGTTGCATTATTCTTGATATTGATCATTTTTTGTACAAGTAAATGCTGAAAAAAAGTTGCAAACAATTTAGAAAATAACTAATGCAGAATGTAATTTTTTATATCTTGGAAAAATAACAATCAGTTTATAAGTCATTGTTACATAAAGCAACTAAATATTGTAAAGTGGACAACAATGGATTGTAATTAAGCATTTATGTGCAAGATGATTAGTCAGTAAAACTTTAGAATTAAAGTGTAGAGCCTTTTCTTACAGTTCACATTGATTTAATTTAGTGCTTCGAGAGATGGGATAGTAAGTCTGAGACTGAAATTTTATTTTTGATTCTGACTTATGTCTTAATTACTTATAAGGCTCCTTTACAGTCAGAGTTCTGTTATCAGTCAGCTCACCAGCAATTGTTCATTAAATGCCTCTTAGTGGTAAGCATTGTATTAGCATTATCAAAGTGAAAAAGAAAAAAAGAGGGGAAAAAAGGAGGAGGAGTGTTTCTCTGATTAACACAATTGAAAGTGGGTTCTTTTCCAAACATCTTGGTCAATTATATACATACTAGAGGCCTGGTGCACAAAATTCGTGCACTCAAGGAGTCCCTCAGCCAGGCCTGTGCCCTCTCACAGTCCAGTAGCCCTTGTGGGATGTCTGACTGATGGCGTAGGCCTGCTCCATGCAGAATTGGGCCTAAGGCATCAGTCAGACATCCTTAGTGCTGCCCCGGAGGCAGGAGAAACTCCCACCATTGCTGCTGTCCTCACCAGCCCTAAGCCTGGCTCAGGGCTTCTGGTGCTCCCCTGTGGGAGCGCACTGAATCCCAGGGGGCAGCATCTGCCTCCTGGTGGTCAGTGTGCATCATAGCAACCATTCATTCTGCCATTCGGTTGATTTGCATATTAACCTTTTATTATACTGGCATAGGATACCAGGCCATAAGATTCCGTCTGCTCACAAATTACTATCACATTTCACATGACTATAAAAAAGTCAGATGTTTTCTTATACTTAAATATTATATGCTTCAGTTTTCCAATAACAAAACTATGGAAAATATTCACAAACAGAGAATTAAATAGTTGATAAATCACTTAGTCACCCACTATCCTGTTGCATATGCCCATTATAAACATTTTTAAAAACTGCCTAAGAAGGATTTCTTTGAATTATTCTAATGCTGAGCTAATAAGCTTCTATTGAATAAAGAAATTAAGTATTTCATCAATATTTTTCCATCACAGGACACATTTATGTGAGTAACATACTGGAGAACATATTTATTTCAGTGTTTATCGAGACAGTAATCTGTTCAACCCTTGAAGTTGGAATGTAGAGAGAAGGACACAAGGAAGCCCAGATGATTATAGAGACATTCTCAAGGATCATTCAAGTCAGAGGAGCAGGTTTATCTGGCTTGGGGTAGGAATTACCCAAACCTTAGATTTGGCTAACAGATGGTGTTTACTACATGTGTATAAAATAAGTGAATAAATGGATTTCTGGGTAGGTGGGTAAGATGCATACCGTATTTTCCGGCGTATAAGACAACTACTGTGTTCTAGTAAAAAGCCTGCTCAGATTGGCCAGAGTCAGAGAGGTAGTCTATTAAAAAAAAGAACTGGTGTTGCCTCGGAAGTGGGGGGGTCTTATACAGTAAAAATAGGCCTAAACCTATATTTTAACTGTAAAAATTAGGGGGTCATCTTATACGCCGGAAAATACGGTA